GCCAGCATGTCAGGGAACCCACAAGAATGAGGGGAAACGATGAACCAGCGAGACTCGACCTAGTCTTCACTCTGAATGACTCCGACATAAGGGAAATTGACTTCGAGGCCCCAGTAGGAATGAGCGATCACAGTGTACTGACGTTTGAGTATCTGGTCGAAGAAGGGTTAAAGTACTCGAGAAAGGGAACTGAAAGCAAAAGGCTAGCATTCCGTAAGGGAAACTATGAGGAGATAAGAAAATTCCTAACGGATATAACATGGGAAACAGAGCTCAGGGGAAAGACGGCCCAAGACATGATGGAATACATCACGCAGAAGTGTAAGGAGGCAGCAGAAAAGTTTATCCCGGCCCAAAAGGAAAAAAAAAAGAAATGCAGATGAGAAACCCATGGTTTAATCAGAGATGTAAGCTAGCTAAGCAACTAAGTAAAAGAGCATGGAGAAACTATAGAAATAACAGGACACTTGAGAGCAGAGAAGGATACCAGAGAGCCAGGAATGAATACGTCAGGGTGAGAAGAGAGGCAGAAGGGCAATATGAAAACGACATAGCAAGCAAGGCTAAGACTCAACCTAAATTGCTGCACAGCCACATCAGGAGAAAGACAACAGTGAAGGAACAGGTAATGAAACTGAGGATAGGGGCAGACAGATTCACTACAAACGACAAAGAAGTGTGCGAGGAACTCAATAAGAAATTCCAGGAAGTCTTCACATTAGAGCAAGGAGAAGTTCCAGAGATAAGAGAAGGAATAGTTAACCAGGCACCACTAGAGGAATTTGAGATTACCAGTGGGGATGTAAGGAAGCTTTTGCTAGAGTTGGATGTGACAAAGGCTATAGGCCCGGATGGAATATCGCCATGGATACTAAAGGAAGGAGCAGAAGCACTGTGCCTGCCACTCTCCATGGTGTATAACAAATCACTGGTAACAGGTGAACTGCCAAAAATTTGGAAGACGGCAAACGTAGTCCCGATATACAAGAAGGGGGATAGACAGGAGGCACTGAACTACAGGCCAGTGTCCCTAACTTGCATACCATGCAAGTTATTGGAGAAAATTGTGCGAAAAAAGCTAGTGGAACATCTGGAGCGAAGGAACTTTGTGACACAACACCAACATGGTTTCAGGGATGGCAAGTCATGCCTCACAGGATTAATTGAATTCTACGATCAGGCAACAAGAATCAGGCAAGAAAGAGAGGGGTGGGCAGACTGCATATTTTTGGATTGCCAGAAAGCCTTTGACACAGTACCACATCAGAGACTAGTGCGAAAGCTGGAGATGCAGGCAGGAGTGAAAGGGAAGGTACTCCATTGGATAAGGGAGTACCTAAGTAACAGAAGACAGCGAGTCACTGTGAGGGGTGAGGTCTCAGACTGGCGAGACGTCACCAGTGGAGTCCCGCAGGGTTCAGTCCTTGGACCTATACTGTTTCTGATATATGTAAATGATCTACCAGAGGGTATAGAATCATTCCTCTCATTGTTTGCTGATGATGCAAAAATTATGAGGAGGATTAAGACGGAGGAAGATAGTATGAGGCTACAAGATGACCTAGACAGACTGAATGAATGGTCCAACAAATGGCTACTAAAGTTCAACCCGAGTAAATGTAAGGTAATGAAACTAGGCAGTGGAAACAGGAGGCCAGACACAGGATACAGAATGGGAGATGAAGTCCTTCATGAAACGGACAGAGAGAAAGATCTAGGAGTTGATATCACACCAAACCTGTCTCCTGAAGCCCACATCAAGAGAATAACATCTGCGGCGTATGCGAGGCTGGCTAACATCAGAACTGCCTTCAGGAACCTGTGTAAGGAATCATTCAGAACCTTGTATACCACATATGTAAGACCAATCCTGGAGTATGCGGCCCCAGCATGGAGCCCGTACCTTGTCAAGCACAAGGCGAAGCTGGAAAAAGTTCAGAGGTATGCCACTAGGCTAGTCCCAGAACTAAGAGGCATGAGTTACGAGGAAAGGCTGCGTGAAATGCACCTCACGACACTGGAAGACAGAAGAGTAAGGGGAGACATGATCACTACCTACAAAATTCTCAGAGGAATTGACAGGGTAGATAAAGATAAACTGTTTAACACGGGTGGTACGCGAACAAGGGGACACAGGTGGAAACTGAGTACCCAAATGAGCCACAGGGACGTTAGAAAGAACTTTTTCAGTGTCAGAGTAGTTAACAGATGGAATGCATTAGGCAGTGATGTGGTGGAGGCTGACTCCATACACAGTTTCAAATGTAGATATGATAGAGCCCAGTAGGCTCAGGAATCTGTACACCAGTTGATTGACAGTTGAGAGGCGGGACCAAAGAGCCAGAGCTCAACCCCCGCAAGCACAAATAGGTGAGTACAGACCCACGCATGTATCACGCTCCTCCTCCCATAGTGTCCCACGCATGTAACATGCTGCTTCTCCCATAGTGACCCACGCATGTAACATGCTGCTTCTCCCACAGTGACCCACGCATTTAACATGCTCCTCCTCCCACAATGACCCACGCATGTAACATGCTGCTTCTCCCACAGTGACCCACGCATGTAACATGCTCCTCCTCCCACAGTGACCCACGCATGTAACATGCTGCTTCTCCCACAGTGACCCACGCATGTAACATGCTGCTTCTCCCATAGTGACCCACGCATGTAACATGCTGCTTCTCCCATAGTGACCCACACATGTAACATGCTCCTCCTCCCACAATGACCCACGCATGTAACATGCTGCTTCTCCCACAGTGACCCACGCATGTATCACGCTCCTCCTACCATAGTGTCCCACGCATGTAACATGCTGCTTCTCCCACAGTGACCCACGCATGTATCACGCTCCTCCTCCCATAGTGTCCCACGCATGTAACATGCTGCTTCTCCCATAGTGACCCACGCATGTAACATGCAGCTTCTCCCACAGTGACCCACGCATGTATCACGCTCCTCCTCCCATAGTGTCCCACGCATGTAACATGCTGCTTCTCCCATAGTGACCCACGCATGTAACATGCTGCTTCTCCCACAGTGACCCACGCATGTAACATGCTCCTCCTCCCACAATGAGCAACGCATGTATCACGCTCCTCCTCCCATAGTGTCCCACGCATGAAACATACTGCTCCTCCCACAGTGACCCACGCATGTAACACGCTCCTCCTCCCACAGTAACCAACGCATGTAACATACTGCTCCTCCCACAGTGACCCACGCATGTAACATGCTGCTTCTCCCACAATGACCCACGCATGTAACATGCTGCTTCTCCCATAGTGACCCACGCATGTAACATGCTCCTCCTCCCACAGTAACCAACGCATGTAACATGCTCCTCCTCCTACAATGACCCACGCATGTAACATACTGCTCCTCCCACAGTGACCCACGCATGTAACACGCTCCTCCTCCCACAGTAACCAACGCATGTAACACACTGCTCCTACCACAGTGACCCACGCATGTAACATGCTGATTCTCCCATAGTGACCCACGCATGTAACATGCTCCTCCTCCCACAATGACCCACGCATGTAACATGCTGCTTCTCCCACAATGACCCACGCATGTAACATGCTCCTCCTACCATAGTGTCCCACGCATGTAACATGCTGCTTCTCCCACAACGACCCACGCATATAATATGCTGCTTCTCCCACAGTGACCCACGCATGTAACATGCTCCTCCTCCCACAATGACCAACGCATGTATCACGCTCCTCCTCCCATAGTGTCCCACGCATGTAACATACTGCTCCTCCCACAGTGACCCACGCATGTAACATACTGCTCCTCCCACAGTGACCCACGCATGTAACACGCTCCTCCTCCCACAGTAACCAACGCATGTAACATACTGCTCCTCCCACAGTGACCCACGCATGTATCACGCTCCTCCTCCCACAGTGACCCACGCATGTAACATACTGCTCCTCCCACAGTGACCCACGCATGTATCACGCTCCTCCTCCCACAGTGACCCACGCATGTAACATACTGCTCCTCCCACAGTAACCAACGCATGTAACATACTGCTCCTCCCACAGTGACCCACGCATGTATCACGCTCCTCCTCCCACAGTGACCCACGCATGTAACATACTGCTCCTCCCACAGTGACCCACGCATGTAACATACTGCTCCTCCCACAGTAACCAACGCATGTAACATACTGCTCCTCCCACAGTAACCAACGCATGTAACATACTGCTCCTCCTCCCACAGTGACCCACGCATGTAACATGCTCCTCCTCCCATAGTGTCCCACGCATGTAACATACTGCTCCTCCCACAGTGACCCACGCATGTAACATACTGCTCCTCCCACAGTAACCAACGCATGTAACATACTGCTCCTCCTCCCACAATGACCCACGCATGTATCACGCTCCTCCTCCCATAGTGTCCCACGCATGTAACATACTGCTCCTCCCACAGTGACCCACGCATGTAACATACTGCTCCTCCCACAGTGACCCACGCATGTATCACGCTCCTCCTACCACAATGACCCACGCATGTAACACGCTCCTCCCACAGTGACCCACGCATGTATCACGCTCCTCCTACCACAGTGACCCACGCATGTAACATGCTCCTCCTCCCACAATGACCAACGCATGTATCACGCTCCTCCTCCCACAGTGTCCCACGCATGTAACATAATGCTTCTCCCATAGTGACCCACGCATGTATCACGCTCCTCCTCCCATAGTGTCCCACGCATGTAACATACTGCTCCTCCCACAGTGACCCACGCATGTATCACGCTCCTCCTCCCATAGTGTCCCACGCATGTAACATACTGCTCCTTCCACAGTGACCCACGCATGTATCACGCTCCTCCTCCCACAGTGTCCCACGCATGTAACATACTGCTCCTCCCACAGTGACCCTCGCATGTAACATACTGCTCCTCCCACAGTGTCTCACGCATGTAACATGCTCCTCCTCCCACAGTGACCCACTTATGTAACATACTGCTCCTCCCACAGTGACCCAGACAAGGCCAACATATCAGAGGTACAAGCAGATAGACAGATCAACAGTCCCATCATTGGAGCAACAGTTAGAAACAACTCTATCTGGAAATCACGTAAGTTGTGTGTTATGTGCCATATGTACACGGCTTGGGTGTCATGTGTCATATGTACACCGCTTGGGTGTCATATGTCATATGTACACCGCTTGGGTGTCATATGTCATATGTACACCGCTTGGGTGTCATATGTCATATGTACACCGCTTGGGTGTCATATGTCATATGTACACCGCTTGGGTGTCATGTGTCATATGTACACCGCTTGGGTGTCATGTGTCATATGTACACCGCTTGAGTTTCATGTGTATAACGCTTGTGTGTAATGTGTACAACGCTTGGGTGTCATGTTTCATGTGTACAACGCTTGGGTGTCATGTGTCATATGTACACCGCTTGAGTTTCATGTGTATAACGCTTGTGTGTAATGTGTACAACGCTTGGGTGTCATGTTTCAAGTGTACAACGCTTGGGTGTCATGTGTCATATGTACACCGCTTGGGTGTCATGTTTCATATGTACACCGCTTGAGTGTTACGTGTCATATGTACACCGCTTGAGTGGTATGTGTCATATGTACACCGCTTGGGTATCATGTGTCATGTACACCGCTTGAGTGTTATGTGTCATATGTACACCGCTTGGGTATCATGTGTCATGTACACCGCTTGGGTGTTATGTGTCATATGTACACCGTTTGAGTTTCATGTTTCATGTGTACAACGCTTGGGTGTCATGTGTCATGTGTACAACGCTTGGGTGTCATGTGTGCAATAATTGGATGTCATATGTCATGTGTGCAACGCTTGGGTGTCATGTGTCATGTGTGCAACGTTTGAGTTTCATGTGTCATGGGTGCAACGCTTGAGTGTCATGTGTCATGTGTGCAACGCTTGGGTGTCATGTGTGCAACGCTTGAGTGTCATGTGTCATGTGTGCAACGCTTGAGTGTCATGTGTCATGTGTGCAACGCTTCCATGTCATGTGTGCAACGCTTCCATGTCATGTGTGCAACGCTTCCATGTCATGTGTGCAACGTTTGAGTGTCATGTGTGCAACGCTTGAGTGTAATGTGTGAAACGCTTGAGTGTCATGTGTGCAACGCTTGGGTGTCATGTGTGCAACGCTTGCATGTCATGTGTCATGTGTGAAACGCTTGAGTGTCATGTGTGCAACGCTTGGGTGTCATGTGTGCAACGCTTGCATGTCATGTGTCATGTGTGCAACGCTTGAGTGTCATGTGTGCAACGCTTGCATGTCATGTGTCATGTGTGCAACGCTTGAGCGTCATGTGTGAAACGCTTGCATGTCATGTGGCATATGTGCAACGTTTGGGTGTCATGTATGCAACGCTTGGGTGTCATGTGTCATGTGTGCAAAGCTTGGGTGTCATGTGTGCAACACTTGGGTGTCATGTGTCATGTGTGCAACGCTTGGGTGTCATGTGTGCAACGCTTGGGTGTCATGTGTGCAACGCTTGGGTGTCATGTGTCATGTGTGCAACGCTTGGGTGTCATGTGTGCAACGCTTGAGTGTCATGTGTCATGTGTCATGCAACGCTTGAGTGTCATGTGTCATGTGTGCAACGCTTGAGTGTCATGTGTGCAACGCTTGAGTGTCATGTGTGCAACGCTTGAGTGTCATGTGTCATGTGTGCAACGCTTGAGTGTCATGTGTGCAACGCTTGAGTGTCATGTGTGCAACGCTTGAGTGTCATGTGTGCAACGCTTGAGTGTCATGTGTGCAACGCTTGATGTGTGCAACGCTTGAGTGTCATATGTGCAACGCTTGACTGTCATATGTGCAACGCTTGAGTGTCATGTGTGCAACGCTTGAGTGTCATGTGTGCAACGCTTGAGTGTCATGTGTACAACACTTGGGTGTCATGTGTGCAACGCTTGAGTGTCATGTGTGCAACGCTTGAGTGTCATGTGTGCAACGCTTGAGTGTCATGTGTGCAACGCTTGGGTGTCATGTGTGTCATGTGTACAACGCTTGAGTGTCATGTGTGCAACGCTTGAGTGTCACACCGCTTGAGTGTGGGTGCACGTGTCATGTGAACACCGCTTGAGTGTCATGTGTGCAACGCTTGAGTGTCATGTGTGCAACGCTTGAGTGTCGTGTGTTCCATGTCATGTGTGCACCGCTTGAGTATCATGTGTCATGTGTGCAACGCTTGAGTGTCATGTGTCATGTGTACAACGCTTGGGTGTCATGTGTGCATGTACAACGCTTGGGTGTCATGTGTCATGTGTGCAACGCTTGGGTGTCATGTGTGCAACGCTTGGGTGTCATGTGTGCAATGTGTCATGTGTGCAACGCTTGGGTGTCATGTGTGCAACGCTTGAGTGTCATGTGTGTCATGTGTGCAACGCTTGTGTGTCAAATGTGCAACGCTTGAGTGTCAACGCTGTGTCATGCAACGCTTGAGTGTCATGTGTGCAACGCTTGAGTGTCATGTGTGGAACGCTCATGTGTGCAACGCTTGAGTGTCATGTGTGCAACGCTTGAGTGTCAACGCTTGAGTGTCATGTGTGCAACGCTTGAGTGTCATGTGTGCAACGCTTGAGTGTCATGTGTCATATGTGCAACGCTTGAGTGTCATGTGTCATGTGTGCAACGCTTGAGTGTCATGTGTGCAACGCTTGAGTGTGCATTGAGTGTCATGTGTGCAACGCTTGAGTGTCATGTGTCATGTGTGCAACGCTTGAGTGTCATGTGTGCAACGCTTGAGTGTCATGTGTCATGTGTGCAACGCTTGCATGTCATGTGTCATGTGTGCAACGCTTGATGTGTCATGTGTGCAACGCTTGAGTGTCATGTGTGTGTGCAACGCTTGAGCGTCATGTGTTCAACGCTTGCATGTCATGTGTCATATGAGCAACGCTTGAGTGTCATGTGTGCAACGCTTGGGTGTCATGTGTGCAACGCTTGGGTGTCATGTGTGCAACGCTTGGGTGTCATGTGTCATGTGTGCAACGCTTGGGTGTCATGTGTGCAACGCTTGAGTGTCATGTGTGCAACGCTTGAGTGTCATGTGTGCAACGCTTGAGTGTGTCATGTGTGCAACGCTTGAGTGTCATGTGTGCAACGCTTGAGTGTCATGTGTGCAACGCTTGAGTGTCATGTGTGCAACGCTTGAGTGTCATGTGTGCAACGCTTGAGTGTCATGTGTGCAACGCTTGAGTGTCATGTGTGTGTGCAACGCTTGAGTGTCATGTGTGCAACGCTTGGGTGTCATGTGTACAACGCTTGAGTGTCATGTGTGTGTGCAACGCTTGTCATGTGTCTTGAGTGTCATGTGTGCAACGCTTGAGTGTCATGTGTCATTGCATGTGTGTCATGTGTACAACGCAACGCTTGAGTGTCAACGCTGGGTGTCATGTGTCATGTGTGCAACGCTTGGGTGTCATGTGTGCAACGCTTGGGTGTCATGTGTGCAACGCTTGGGTGTCATGTGTGCAACGCTTGAGTGTCATGTGTGCAACGCTTGAGTGTCATGTGTGCAACGCTTTAGTGTCATGTGTCATGTGTGCAACGCTTGTGTGTCAAATGTGCAACGCTTGAGTGTCATGTGTGCAACGCTTGAGTGTCATGTGTGCAACGCTTGAGTGTCATGTGTGCAACGCTTGAGTGTCATGTGTGCAACGCTTGAGTGTCATGTGTGCAACGCTTGAGTGTCATGTGTGCAACGCTTGAGTGTCATGTGTCATGTGTGCAACGCTTGAGTGTCATGTGTCATGTGTGCAACGCTTGAGTGTCATGTGTCATATGTGCAACGCTTGAGTGTCATGTGTCATATGTGCAACGCTTGAGTGTCATGTGTGCAACGCTTGGGTGTCATGTGTGCAACGCTTGAGTGTCATGTGTGCAACGCTTGAGTGTCATGTGTGCAACGTTTGAGTGTCATGTGTGAAACGCTTGAGTGTCATGTGTGCAACGCATGCATGTCATGTGTCATGTGTGCAACGCATGCATGTCATGTGTCATGTGTGCAACGCTTGAGTGTCATGTGTGCAACGCTTGAGTGTCATGTGTGCAACGCTTGAGCGTCATGTGTGCAACGCTTGAGCGTCATGTGTGCAACGCTTGAGCGTCATGTGTTCAACGCTTGCATGTCATGTGTCATATGAGCAACGCTTGAGTGTCATGTATGCAACGCTTGGGTGTCATGTGTGCAACGCTTGGGTGTCATGTGTGCAACGCTTGGGTGTCATGTGTCATGTGTGCAACGCTTGGGTGTCATGTGTGCAACGCTTGAGTGTCATGTGTGCAACGCTTGAGTGTCATGTGTGCAATGCTTGAGTTTCATGTGTCATGTGTGCAACGCTTGAGTGTCATATGTGCAACGCTTGAGTGTCATGTGTGCAACGCTTGAGTGTCATGTGTGCAACGCTTGAGTGTCATGTGTGCAACGCTTGAGTGTCATGTGTGCAACGCTAGAGTGTCATGTGTCATGTGTGCAACGCTTGAGTGTCATGTGTCATGTGTGCAACGCTTGGGTGTCATGTGTTCAACGCTTGAGTGTCACGTGTGCAACGCTTGGGTGTCATGTGTGCAACGCTTGAGTGTCATGCGTGCAACGCTTGGGTGTCATGTGTGCAACGCTTGAGTGTCATGTGTGCAACGCTTGAGTGTCACGTGTGCAACGTTTGAGTGTCATGTGTGAAACGCTTGAGTGTCATGTGTGCAACGCTTGAGTGTCATGTGTGCAACGCTTGCATGTCATGTGTCATGTGTGCAACGCTTGAGTGTCATGTGTGCAACGCTTGAGTGTCATGTGTGCAACGCTTGAGTGCCATGTGTGCAACGCTTGAGTGTCACGTGTGCAACGTTTGAGTGTCATGTGTGAAACGCTTGTGTCATGTGTGCAACGCTTGAGTGTCATGTGTGCAACGCTTGAGTGTCATGTGTGCAACGCTTGAGTGTCAACGTGTCATGTGTGCAACGCTTGAGTGTCATGTGTGTGTGCAACGCTTGATGTGTCAACGCTTGAGTGTCATGTGTGCAACGCTTGAGTGTAATGTGTGCAACGCTTGAGTGTAATGTGTGCAACG